TTGTGATGTGGCTGTCGATGTGGGTCGTATTGAGAATGCTCTCTCCCTTAGCAAAGTGATTCTGCAAACCTCTTCTTCCAATGAGGATTCTGAAAAGTAATACGTAGGTTTCTGCCAATCGAAATGTGGCCCATGTGAATCGATTGTCGTAGGCTGATGGTAAATGTAACGCTTGCCATCATTGCTTGTCTTCAGAAGTCGTTCGAGATAAATCGCTGTTGCCGATACAACCCTTTCTGCCACCCGCATACCTGAATGGTTGGTCTTTGGAGAAATTGTGCAAAATGCCGAAATCGTACGATTGTTGACGTCGTTCGATCTTATTGAGAGTCAAGAGGCAAGGGGCGCAGAATCGTTCGAAAATATCTGCTGCAAAAGCGTCAGAATTCGATTCCAATTAAAGTCGAGATTAAATGAGAGACTCGATAAATGATGTCACCAATTGCCGTCCTTACTAATGGAATTAGAGAGTTATATTTACACATGCGGGGATAATCCACTTGAGTGACTTATAACGGTTTAACAGTGATCACGCCTGAGTGAACTCGGTTTGCTGACCTGACGGTGATTATGACTCATCCCCTTTTCATTGGTTACTGTTATCAGATACCTGTCATCCGTTCACTCATTCACACACTACGACACACTTGACTGGCGTGGCGCTAATAAACGGTCGCGTTCTCTGTCGCCTCTCTTCTCTCCATTCTCGGGTTGTTACGGGCTGTTAACTAGAGGGTTGTAAGGTAGTGCTAGACTCTAGCCACTCCTGTGAATTGCGTGACGGTGGTGAAGCCTCTCGATTTCCTCTACACTACCGATCATAATCGTGGGTGGTCAGGATTTCATCACGATGATCATGACCAATTCCTTAGTCATTTTGACCAAGCCATAGTTGTTACCTGCAAAGTTGAGAGTAGTGGTTTCAGTTAGTGGTCAAAGGTTCAGTTTAATTTCGGCCAGGTTTGCAGTAGACTTTACCGTGACCTAAGGTTTGACAAATTTGAGCACCTTTTGGTGTGATGACTCTTTAAATGGGTGACTGTCATGGTAGAAAGAAGTTGTACTTTACTCAGCATAAGTGCAGGCAGAGAGTTAACTCCAGCAGCGCTCGTGTTTTGGTATCTGCACGGAGACGATGTCTACCAGATCAAATGGTCACGTTTTTAAGCCCCAAACATCCCAGTTCCTCTGCTAATTAGCTACTTTTAAAAAATGGCAAGAATATTGTGACATTTGCTACATTACTTCCTTATAACTCTTTGTTTTTCCAAACTGGTCTTGTTGGAACATCTTTCAAATTTCGTTTTATCAAATTTGTTTAACTGAGAGAGTATTCAAGGGGTTGCCAGTGTCAACGTACATCTTGCTAGGTGCTCATTACTCACAGGAGACAGACTTCGAAGGATTCAAGTCAATTGTTTTACCCTCGATCGACTGACAATCCGATGTATGATAAGAAAACCCGCCCCTAAACAAAACCATTCTTTAATTACTTTAGTACATCTAACCACGCGTTGTGTTTGAGTGCTTAGTTCAGCAACCTATCCATCGGAAAACTTGATTTATCAAGTCAAGCCCGATGCACTAGAGTTAACTCTCCACACAGAAACCTGTCTAACCTCCGAAGATAGTTAATTTCTTCGCATGACTTGGAATTGCTTACAACCACACAGCAGTGCTAAATCAGTCTCTGCACCACTTGCTGTCACGTGTGTGTTCAATACCCTAGATTTTTCACAGCAAAATCTGGAATTTAAAGAATATTTAAAGAACCTCGTGTGTTGTTTTGTGGTGTGCGTCATCATGTACTCGGGTTACACGCAATCGCCTTCACACTTTCTATCGCGCCGTTTGGCAGTCGCTCAAACACATGCAAGCACGTGCCCTTCAAGTCATTGTTACAATAAATGTGCCGCTTCTATTGTTGCCGTGGTCACCGTAACGCCCAACCACCAGCCCGTCTGTCCACTAAAGACAGGCTTTATGATAAACAAGTTACTTTGTTAAACACAGTCTCGAGTGTATCCCGGATCCGTGGTCTCGTATAATCTCAAGGACAATTCGCAAGCAATTTACTGTATCTGTGGTAGCCTCAATGTGCACTCACGTGTCTAGTAGGCGTCTTCCACCGGATACTAACCCTGTGGTCCCGGGTTACTCATTTTACGTCTTCAAATTTTTCACCCACTAACAACTTTCCACACAACTTGCTTCAGAGAAGGCAGAAATCGTCATCTTGTCAGTTAAGCAGCTGCCTTGTCATCGCCACCTCAACCTTTCTTACTGCACTAGCCCCTCCCCCCCCACACCTTATTTGGCTTCCCAAGAGAAATACACGTCCCCTCACTTTAACTGCGATGGTGGCCTGCAGATACTGGTGGGGTCGAGAGGACCTGGGGCGCGTTAATTTATTCATTACACAGGCAACAATGTGTGAGATACATAAATGCATAGCTAAGTGCGTGGAGGCGAGCGAATGAAAGCCAAAGCGTTTGCGCTGCGAGGCAAGAGACGCGTGTTTGGGCGTTGACTGGACCACATGAATCAGCAAGTGGATGTCACGTGAGCAAATTGTGTGCGTTGGCAGCGGATGGGTTTTTTTTCAGGGCCTGCAGAATTTTGGCGCGTGGAGCCAAATTAGCGTAAACGCCGGGCCCCTCCGAATACGAATACGGTGCAAGCGGGGGCCAAATTGATTCCCGGGGGGTGACACCCCGTGGCCGGTTTGCTTAATTGCAGCCTTCCGATAGACTTGTGAAGCCCAAGACAACAGATGAAACCTTATGCACGAGGCACTGACACCAGTCACAGGTCAAATCTTCGTTTATATCGGGCGATAAGCTAGAAGTGATACGAGGGTTACCCCTCACGAGGTCAAGTCTGGTCCACACAAAGACTGAAATTCCAAAAAAAGTTGGTAAATGCGGCCATTGTCCCCCCCCCCGGGAACTCATTTTTTTTTCATTCTTCCTCTTATTTTTTACTGGCTGCCATTTGTAGAGGTCAAGTGGGAAGAAAGAGACTGACTTCTGATTGGTTAGTTTTCAATCTGGCAATAGACACTACTTTCACCTATTTTTGTCAACAAATTACATTGAGATTAATACTACTTTTGAACGTATTTGTGAAACCGACAGACTTAATGGAATCGGAGAACAACAAAAACAGTCTGGATGGTCAATCCTCTTATGAAGATTGTCCTACACAATAAATGTTACGACAATAAACAGAGTTTAACAGCAGGGGTTAAGCAGTAAATGTATGCAACAAATAAATATGCAGTCTTAGTGGCGGATTTGAATAGTGTTCTGACGGAACCACTTTAGTAAAACAAAGGGTTCGCGAAACTAACATAGCACATGCTGCTCAACGGCCATCTAAACCACCACATTCTCTGGTTAGTTATGTTCAAAAGTGACAGTTTGATTGAATAGAAATTATAAGTTCCCATGAATGACTTTATCTGCGTGATAAATACCTTTTCAAAACAAGTACCAAGCATGCTGTGGGCCCCAGCATGTGGTCTTGAACCACGCCGGGGCCAATGAATTAACTCTGGCTCGGTTACGCTACCCTGCTACCCACGATGAAGAACACGACAGGAGAGGACGTGAACACTACCGTTTACTTCAGAGCTCAACCACGTCGGTATCGTTGTGTCGTGTTTGGGGTTTGCGCGTGTGTATTTATACCTCGGATGTGTGAGTCATACATGCTTTACCATCGAGACCCATGTGGGAGGATAACCCAGGATAATCGTACGCGCTAATGAGGGGGAGTTGAGGGTCCACGTGGCTAGCGACATGCTACGAAAAGGGGAACCCGATGTCGGAGGCTGGAGCGACCGGATTAGCGAGTGTGAATCAGCGGAATTCACAACAGGAGAAGGTTAACCCGTTTATTTTATGCTTCGTTGATAATATGTGGTTTTTCATCAAAATATCGGTCTTGCTGTCTACCTAGATCATCTTTCGATGACGGTTTTGCGATTGTGTCCGGCCTTTTTATGTGGCCGTTAGGCTGACTAACGCTTGTCGTTAACACCTACTGCTACTGCTTCACGTTCAGTAATAGGAATCAACGTTGATGCATCTGGCGATTCTGCGCCAGATCGTTGAGTTCCTTCGGCCGATGTGTTTTTACTCGAAAGGCGGCCATGGTTACGCTTATAATGGATTTCCCGCTGCTCCACTTAGATTCCATCTCCTGCCAAATAATAGCAGCTGAATCAGTCAGCTACGGTATTTAACAGCAAGGATTCAACAGTAAGTGTATACAACAAATAAATGCATTTTGTTAGTGTTGAATTTGAATAAAGTTCTAGCGAGACCATTTTAGTAACACAAGGCGTTATGCGGAACTGACATGACATAGGTTAAAGTATTATTCGGAAGATCTGAGGCCACTCAAATGGCCACAGGTGCGTTAACTAAGATACGATTTCTCTCTCGAGTCATTCGCACTCATCTCGCCAGACTGGGGTTCGAAAGCACTTCTTTCAAGCATGCACACACACACACGTATGACAACTCTAAACTGTTGCATTTCAGCAGTTATAAACGCCTGAGCGAAGCGTTGGTGTGAACGATTTGCTGCAGGTTCATTTATTTCACGGGTAGGCCATTATACTACCATGTACTGCGTTCGAGGACAATATTTTCCCAAATCAATTTCGAAATGGCGCTGTACTAAGCGTCACTCGAGTCGGAAAGGTAGGTTAAAAGTCATCCTTATTTCCAAACTGAAGACAGCGATCACTAGGAATGTCTGAAATGCCTCCACAACTTCGTCGTAAAGACAGCTAATAAAAGGCGCTTTATTGGTGATGAAGTCAAGTCCGGAGTTCAAATCCATCATTTGCCTCCGCCTAGCTCAGGCAGACGTTTCCTTCACGTTGTCTTTCACGTGACAATGTCCCACACTCTTATCGCCTTCTCTAGGATCAAGATATCGAAATCACTATTAACACCAACCAAGGTGATCAATGAATCCAGGGCAGTAGAAGCTATTCACACAAGGCCTTGTTCTAGTTTGAGGAGGCGTCGGCTCGTAAGTACTTTGCCTGAGTGTTGGTGCCCTTGACGGGCACTAAACAAGGGGTTCAACTACTTACGCTTGAAGTACTTGCACTTGCATGTACCACGTGGACGTCGTGATCCTTTTTGTCTTGCAGCGTCTCAACACCCACCGCCTGCCGTCCGTGTTACAAACAACAAATTACCGCGGATAATCACGTCTGTTCATTCTGCTACATGCGCGTTTGCCGAAAAGCCTGTTTCTATGCTCACAGCAACCTGACGCTTTACACCAAGGCAGACGTCAGGGGTTCTCGTGAGGGACAACCTCTAGCAAAACACCGCCTGGAAGGCAGTGCCAAGCTTCTCGCGATGAAACGAGTCGAGGCAATGGAAGTCCTTCGACGTGACAATTGACTCTTGAAAATGATTTCAGATTAGCTTATTTCAGCACAAACTTCCGTGAACATCGAAGGCGTTTTCACAACTCACTTCGCTACATAACAACCAGCATTGTGAAATCCTCACGTGTTAGACCAATTGCCGCAGTCTGCTTGAACCAATCGGAGAGGTGATTGATTGAGTTGGCGAGTGGCGAACACATGACGAAATCTCAGATCATTTCCCCAGTTTGCCATTGCGTAAAGTAAATCAATCTAAGGCACAATTTTCTAACCTGCGAGTTTGGGTTTCACCAACACGGATACGGTCCTAATCAATCACTTTCGCACCACCACTCCCTTTATCGGAGCGATTCGCGCCAGTGGATGCGCACCAATAGAGGCCCATTTGAATGACCCCACTTGAGGAAAATAGCTATGGGACTCGCACCCGACTCCACGACAATCATTGGTTCCCGTTCTCCACCAATCCCCAGACGAGCACCTTAAACGATTGTGTTTACCTCAATTTGATATCGACGGGCAGGCGCAGGACCAAACCCACTTGGCTTCTCCGACCACAACACCTCGACAAGGCGTGCTCAATCACAAAATGGACACTACCCTTCCCGTGTTAGTTCACTAGAATAATGATTGGAAGACAAATAAGACACATTCAAGTGGTCTGGTACACGTCTTAAAACGAATAGAAATTGATAACACAAGGATATAACCCCCTTGGCTTATATCTTTGCCCTGCTGTTATCACAGCGATTCGGCATAGCGGCTAAGAACCCAGAGGAAGGTAAGCAAAAACAAACACCGCGTTTAGAGCACAACGCCGCACGATATTTCAAAAACCGCGGCATACTAAGTCAAACAATTGGCACAAATGCAGTCGTCAGCGTTGATAGGACGTCGCAGAAGACTCCAGGCGTGGCTCCTTCCTTACAAGGCCCATGAAGTCTCCACAATGTCTTGATGGGATGGCATGGTGGGATTTGGATGTTCCACCTGTGGACGAGGCAGGAGGATGAGGAGGGTAGAGGGTGGTCTTCGTTGGGTTCTTGGGCTGCCCTTTGTTGGGGCTGATTCTCCCGTCCGACGAACTCAAATCCACCTCCACAATCGACACTTCGCCTAAGCACAAAGCATCCACGTTTTAAATGTAAAGCTTACTACTAGCGGTAGAGTGGCCAGAGCGGCCTTTGTGTTATGCGTGACGTAAACGACTACTGTACATTCTCTGGTGAAGTCTTGTAAACCAAGTAGTGTTTACAAACCCAACCAATTGGAGTCGAGATTGCGTAGGCGCGATCCAATCATATTTCCACACGACAAACGACTGCAATTGCCATCCAATTGCGCTTTGACACACTAGGATAACGCGCAGTTGCGTAAACAGAGCCACGCAAGTAGGAGCTGACGCGGTGATTGAACCAGTCAAATTTCAGCTACTGACTTAAGATCAATTTCGACAAAAACAATCATTTCCGACATTCTCTAACACCTCGAATGCTTAAAACAAAAAAAATTATTTTGGCACTAGTCGCAATCTCCCATGTTGGCGGTCGGTAGTGAAACAGCAAAGCACATTGAGTGATGAATTGTATCTACAAGAGATTACACAAACAATTGGCTGGGATGAACCAAACGTCCACTGTCGCGATTCCTGATGACCCGGGATGGGACAGGGTTCAGTTTGTGCTTACCAAAACAATCCAATGCGCGCAAAATCATGAATTTTGCCACAAAAAAATGACGAAAGGTCGGTTCTGTGTGTTACGTAGCGCTGAAAGATCGAAATTTCGTCTCAACCAGCCAATCGAAATTCATTTTACCAATCTGCGTAACATCCGACCTGGAAAACGCTTAAAATTCAAACATGACTACCAATATCCATCGATAAATACACACCACAAGCACGAGGCATTCAAGATACACCGTTAGCTTAAGCCTAATAATCATCAAAAATACTGACACATCAAAAAAGAACTAGGAAACATCGCGACCTACCCGAGAGGGAATCCCCACAGATACAATCGTCAATTTGCGCGGAGGATGACGGTGCGGGGTGGTCCGGTTCATTCTTCATTGTTAGGAGTTTGTGGCGTTGGGTGAGGCAAGCAAAGACGTGGTCCCAGATGCTGGCGGCGTTGGCTACATCGCTGGAGTTGGCAGGCTTCTCGGTGTGAATGTAGTCGCAGCACACGTAGCACAGACGCAGCTGAAGAGGCAAATAGACCATTTGTGAACAAAACGAACTACGCTCAATCCGATGCACAAACTGCTCGAACCGTGTTCCCCAAAACGACGCGCACGGTGCATTAGACGTCCCCCTCAAGTCTGAGGGAAAGGATGCTCAAGTGTGGTAGAGGTTAGTGGGAACTGAAATTCGCGGAACCAACGCCATCTAATCGACTCCCCCCCCGCCCTCCAGAGTAGCTTTTCGTAGAAAAAGTTGACAATCGATTACGGAAATTCTTTTGAGAACGTACCCAATGCGAGAAAAATGCATGCTCAGTGAGGGCCCAGCGTGTAGCCTCGACGGATTTGCAGATGGGACACTGGAAGGCCTTTGCAGTGGCCACTGCCACGGCGTTCTCGTCGGAGCCCGCGTTAAGAGTCTCGTCGAACAGTCTCAAACGTGGGTCCGAGTTGAGGTGGTCACCAAACCGCAGCTGTGGGATGCAAGATAAAAGGACTGATGACACTCAGAAGGCATAAAAACCTGGACTCCTTGACTTTGCTTCTTGTGTGTGCTCGCGATGTGGAAGTGCGTGAATCTTAAATTCACCAGGTTTCCGCTATCACAGAAAGCCTCTTTCAACGTCGCTCAACAGACACCTTTGGACATCGAGTAATTGACTTCTCCAGCTCGACAGACAACGTGGACTGTTGGCATGCCTAGAAGGCAAGTTCCTTGGAGCTTTCGACGGTGCCAACATCTGAGGTCCATAGCTCAACATCAGGGGATAATTTTGAGAAAAAATTACATGTTCGAAAACTGCCTTGGATAGTGGTGGGTGTCCGCCGGGTAGGTGGAGTGGTCTAACAGTGGAGATGGTGCCGGAAGTGGGGGTGTCTGGGGTGTTGTTCATTGCCTCCTCGTCTGCAAAGAGGCTCGGGAAGGGGAGGAGGTTGTTATCATCATGGCGGCGTTTCCGGAGTCCTCGGAAGCAACTGGAGGCCGTCGGGAAGGCCGAGGCGTGCGCCATCAGCGCTAGAGGGGAGTCCAGGCAGCCCGACTGACACTGACAGACAATTACGTCTAGGATGAGAGCAAAAATTTACCCTGAAGAGGTGAAGGGTAACGTAGGACACACACACATGCTCAAAATAGACCCAAGAAGCATGCACTTCTAAGCAATAATAAAGTAGGCGGTACACGGAGCGAACAGGCAGCACACTGGAAGCGAATCATAAGACACGTGTTGAAGAAGCGGCGGGATGGTGTTGTGGACTGAAGCTGTCACCTCGCAGCAGCTATGAATTATCACGCAGATGTGGGGAAACGCATTAATCGAATCCTGCCTCTTGTTCGCCTGTGGATCTCCTAGTACCGAAAGAACACGTAACATCACGCACGGACGACTACGCACTCAAAGCACAGATACACTTAATTGGACAGGAATCCAATCATTGACCGGACAATAGGCAAGGCATTAATCAGAACTACTAAAAATGACAAAGACGAAACAGCGCATGACATGAGACAAGTGAGATTCAACGCGACTTACCACCTGGACGCTCGGAGAAACGTCGTGTCCGGTCCAGGTGCCAAGCAACATAACTAAAATGAAGAATCATTTTGGGATGTTATCCGTTGTCACTAGCTTTAACTACATATTTGAGTAGGGTTCAAACAGTGAGGGCAGTGGAATCGACTTGTTCGATTGAGTTCGATAAATCAATCAGAAATTTGAAATCAACGCCTAAAATCCGGCAAAAACAAACTCAAATAGGCATCAACGCAGATGTGATAAAAAAAATTAAATACAAGAGGCAGTTCTGGTGAACTCACGGATTGGCCCTCGCGTGCATTGACAGGTGCTCAACAAGGCCGTTGGCGTGATCAAGGGGATCAGAGGACACTAACTGGACCTTGTCTCCACACCAGGGGCACCCGATCTGCCCACTGACACCAACACACACCACGTGGTTTGAGATTTCATGACTGTGGAGGCTTCCAAGGTCCGGAAATGTCACTGTGGACTTGGCGTCGCCTCGTGGTCTTTCACTCGCCCTCTCTTCGCCACTGCCGCCTCGAACTGGCAACGCTGAAGTTAGACAAGTCTTAAAGAAATCTGCACGACCACTCCTACACCCAGGCACCCCCAGAGAGGTTATCAACCAATCAAAAGCAAGGCCCACGTTCAGTTAAAGGGGAATCGATTAGAGGGCGTGACACTCAACGAGGGGAGAGATCAAACGTTCTAGAAAGCATGTAAGAGAGGTACTCACACACTGCCTGATTTTGTGGCGCAGGAGAAGTGCTTTGACTCGACCTTCTCACAGGTGGTTTTTTCAAGCCGATACCACAGTAGAGGCAGAAGCAGAGCGGGCTATCCGCTACCGTCGTCGTCGTCATTTGGGAGACCGACTCTGTTCCGCTCTCCGACGCAGCCGCCTCCGATGGCTGCGGTGTGATGTTGAGGCAGTTCTCGCCGAAGGTTCGCGAGAGCACGGCGACAGCGTGGGGACAGACACGCAGGTGCCTGCGGAATTCGTTGGCGTCGAAGAAGAGTCGTTTGCACTCGCCGAAGCAATTGTAGGCCGACCTTACCTCACAGGTGGTCGGACAACCGACCACGGTGGAGTCACCCGGACGACAATGTGCGGTCTGAGTGGGAACATGAAGCTAGCTGATTGAAAAAGTACGGGGTGTGCAGCAAAGAGAATACATCGAAAACAACGTAAGACCATCTGAGCTGGAGAACAAAGAGTAGGGTTAGCTGAATGAGAGAAAACGGGAGTGTAGATAGGAGGCGTACGCGAGTTTACGAGTAGGCGGGCAGGGAGTGCATCGGGAGGCAACACAAAAAACTATTTCTCACTTACGGAGAAGTGTCCAGCAAAGGTAACGGGGACGGGAGTGATGTAGGAGCATTCGGAACACTCGTAGCCAATTTGGGAGTAGGTGGAGGCGGAGGCGGGTGCGAGGGCATGGCGCTCCTGAAGGTGAGAGCAGACTGCGGCGAAGTCGCGAAAGTCGTATGAGTAAAGCTGGTTGCGAGGATTAAGCCGATTGGCGCAGGCACCTGAAACACGCAACGAAAGTGAGTCAACAGTGGGAAAAACAAGCCAGTGGCGAGACGAGGAATCCTGCAGCCCTCCCCCCGTGTGCGCGCCAGTTGCAGACGCACGAACTTGTGGGCGCACAGGCTAACACAAAAGTCGCCTCCATGATGCCTATCTGTGTACGAGTTAACAATCATGTGGGTTCATAGAAGGGTCTAGATACGGCACGTCAAGTCGACCACTGCCAGACCCCCACCGGAATGCATGGTTTGCGCGATTTCGCTTATAACCCAAAAAGCAAACTTGCCATCGCCGGTGTCCTCCACCTTACTCTGTAGATTTGCTCCACTGCATAGTTGGCAGGCGTACTTGCGCGCTGTGTGGGCCTCGAACCAATGGTGGACGAAATTCTCCATTGTGAGAAAGATTTTGTCGCTGCACGTGGTCCGCGTGCAGACGAAGACCTTGGCGACGTTGAAGTGGAAACAGGAGAACCGCAGGTGCAGTCGGAGGCAAATTTCCGCCAGGGGTGGGGGCAAGTCGGGAGGGGGCTGGAGACAGGAGAGGGGATGAAGAAGGGGGTATTAGCTAAACACGAAAACTTGGCGAACCAAATACCACGGTTATGAAGGAAAGGGAGCCTTACCGTGAAGCCACACTGTGGACACACGAGGAATATGCCCAGATGAAAGAGGATGTGGGCTTTGACCGAGCACAGTCCACTGTTGTGCGACACAGAGAGGGAACAGAAGGCGCACCTCGCTAGCACCGTGTCTGGGCTGCCGGGCACACCGGAAAGATGGTGTCTCAGGGCGGTGGGTGAGTTGGTGCGAAAGTCGCCACACATGAGACAACGCAACACTCTGTGGAAGTCAGGGTTGCTGCGGCCGCAGCCCAGCAAGGCAGTGTACGCCTGTTCCACCTGGTCCCGGGTGGCTGCTGGCGGCGGTGAAGGGGTGCCTCCCAGACCTGTGGAAAAGTGTGAGAGCTGAGGGGACCCCAAGGTGAATCGATGTCACGCACAACAGGGCGACTGATCAACGAATTCGCCATAACTACTTTGTTAACAGTAGGCAAATCTAAGCAAAACGTCAAGCTGTTGAATAATCTTTGAAGGAAAAACGCCACGACAAACGCCGCCGAGTCAATACAACAAACCCAGGAATCTGGCAACAGCCTAGTTGCTGAAATGGGTACAAGTGCAGAGATGTGGAAAAAAGCACCACAAATCAAGTCAGTGTTGACAATACAGGAGCGTCAATCAACACCACTGCCACCTCCACAACACCCACACTAGACGCTTTCCGGATCGATTGCGATGTAGTTACGAGAGATGCGGGTCGACTTCAGAGTTGCCTCAAGTGTGCAGATGGTCTGACCTCGCAGTAGCGATAAATCTCCACACGGACCACAACTCGCCTGCCCAGGCAGCACCAACAATGCTTCAACTCGACAAAGCGCACTTTCCACCTATCCCTGTGCTCACAACGAACTGGGACTACGGAAATGAGGTTTGGATCTTCACCTCGATTCCTAATTTAGCCGACCATCTGCTTTGAACATTGCCACAAGGATTTCATTATGGCACGACGGTAGTCGCCTTCGTGGACGATTGCGGCTACAAGTCGGTTGAAGATTGGGGTTTATAATTAGGTTGCTGTGAAAAAAAAACCTGACTACATGTTAAAACCGAGATTCATCGCTCACAAGAATGACAGTGTAGTTAGAATCACAGGCGACTTTCTACTCAGAAAGCGATCATGGTTCATGCGGTGGACAACGTTGAAACAGTAAGTTAACTTTTGGGATACAAGGCATCTATCGGTTTTAGGGAGTGTTGATCTTTGAGAATTCCACGATTAGCCGAATTTCCAGACTACTACAAATGTATTGTTATCCGTGAGTGTTCGTGAAGCATTCCAGAAAAAAAGTGACATGAACAGGCCCATCGATTTATTGAACCACGGTCTGGTTACCATTTTTCTGGGCAGTGGCACCAGAATTAGTGACACGCGCGTGCCATGCAGAGAGGAAGAATTGTCCGTTCCAGACCGAGCCCTCGGCCAGTCGAAAGAGGAGGTGTGATATGGAAGAGGACTGATTCAGGGGAAGACCGTGCTGGGAGAGGAGCTGTGGACACGTCTGACTCGATGATGACAACGACGACGACGACGACGAGGATGCCGTCATCGATGGAATATCGGGTATACGAAGGAAGCTTGTGTCAGGCGACTGCCCGGTGCCAGCTGGCAAGAAACAAAACTCCTGGGTACGGAGAAGATTCCTAAAGGAGCAAAAAGAAGACTCAGGTTCTTCGATATCCATTTTTACAGATTTTACAGCTGTTATTTGATGCAAAAGTTAACCAAAAACGAACTTAATCCTGGAAATATTGTCCATCGGTTTCCATGACATTGCGCCATCTCTCAGGTAACGCAAAAATGCCGTCGCAAAAGAAACTTGCAGGATTCGAGGCAGCGATATCATGGACGAAGATTTAACGCACATCGTTTTAGGGTATTGAACTGTTCATCCACTAAGGCGTGCTGCTGCTGCTGCTGCTGCATTGACCGGAACAAATAGTAGTCGGGTTGGCCAAGTTTGGTGAATATGCCACGAATGGGAGATCTTCCCAGCCCAAGTTCAAGAGGACCTTCTGAGTCGCTCTAGCAACGTGAAGTCGGCGTTGTCATGCAGCTGTGGTATGACTTGCCTGATTCCTTGCCCAGCAAATGGTCTTTCCTGATCTTTGATCTCTCCGCCCAGTTTGCTCAATTGTCGGTTGTAGCGTCCCACAGTCACCGTCTGACGACCAGTTTCCAGGAGTTCGTGATGAAGAACACCCTTCGTGTTCCACCAGATACACAGCTAGATACTTTCGTCAAGTGGATGTATTGGTTTGCCTGGAATCCACCAGCGATACCTTTGTATGTTTGGGTTTCTCGTAAAAGTTTACTTTTCATCTACTGTTTCAAATATCGACAGAAAGTCCTTCTTTTGTGCAAACGCTTGGAAACAGCGGTTTGGGTGACTCCTGAGCTACAAGTTCTTGATGCGTTGGCGTTGAGTCTTAATCCACCAGAGCTTGTGGTTTCAAACTTTTGAGGCCGCTATCAGGGGCCCCGCTTATCACTATGACTTTTTGTTCGGTGTACTGAAACCTTGCGTCCGAAAATATTCTCATTTTAAACACAACTTCAAACTTTAAACTCGTACACCTAGCCAGTTACTTAATCATCCACAGAATAAACCGAAAGAGTTCATGTTAGTTGGTTTAAAAACAGCTTCTTGCACGTCCAAGTTCAGACTCACGTTATCCCTCGATCCAAATCGTTCCCCAAGTCGACCAACTCCTGTCCCTCAACGTAGAGCTGTTGGTTGGGCGGCTGGCTGCCACCCCCTCCACTTTGATTCTCCTCCTCTTCACAGGCCGAGCCTTCGAGCGGGTCACCCGCGCCGACAAGCCAGGGGATGGCATTGACGGAGAGCCGGGAGGGAATCAGACGCCACGCCGACACCGGCTCGTTGGCGTGCCTCTGGGTCATGTGGACGAACAGCGCGCAGAGATTCGGCGCTGAGAGGTTGGAGGCGGGCGGCGCCGCGTTGTCCAGGGAGGGCGGTTGCAAGGCGGGCACGACGGTCGGAGTCGGTGCGGTGTCTTGCTGAGGCGGGCAAAGGTGACAGCGGTAAATCACTCGGGCGACAGGGCGGTTGAGGTGATTGGAGTAGAGGGAGGCACTGGAGAAGGTGCGGCGACAGAAGAGGCACATGTGGTGACCCTTGGGGTTAGGGTGACGGGACTGAAAGGTGCAAAAAAAGTTTAACATGCTTACTGGAGGGGTGTGTGTGGTGAGTCACATCCATCACCTCTGTCACCGCATTCTCAGACACCGCCCCGCCCTTCTCAGAGTCGCTATATTGCTCATGCAGACACGTCTGATCACGCACCCCAGTGCACATACCCAGACTCCTGTCACTCTTGACACACACACACACACACACACCTCTTTATGCAGGTACTCGTACAGTAGCTAGTTCATCGGAATTCTATTGGTCGACGGCCCCCACACCCATATCTCTCCTGTCCTTGACATCGTCGCCACAACACACAACTTGGTTGAGCCATCAACAAATGTTTGCGCCTACTTACAAATGCCGATTGCAACGGTGGTAGAGGAATTCGTAAAATCCAACGAATTCCAATAATAATAATAATAAACAGCAGAGAGAATAAAGACAACTAACTTTGTGCTTTTCGGCACCGTTTTGATCGGGGGACCAGAGAAGAACTGATGGATCTAGCTGAGGAAAAAAAGGGCAATGAGAGCAGGGAAACGCACGGGTTAACGGAAACAACAAAGATGACTGCACCCTGTTGACCTTTTGAGAACGATGTGCGTCATCAGGTGGAATTGGTGTTCCACTGCCCAAAAGCACGCGGCGTGGAAGATATTCGAACAGACATGCCTTCTAGTTTTGAGCTTACTAACTCCAAGTGCACGTCTCTGGGTGGTAGTGAGGGGTCAACGTGGGTTTACTTTCATCAAATTAACAAAAAAAACACGCAAAAAGGCGGAAAGTGGTGACCCATGACGTGAGAATGGACAGCGTTAGTGACATGGACCAGTGCTGTTGAAAGGCGCGGCAGTCTGCAAGAAATAAGCACACACCCTGAGAACCGAGCTGAGTTCAGGCAGAGCCTTGGCGCGGACCTTCTGCAGAAGCCGGGCCGGAGACGAGAAGATACTGTTGAAGTTGAGGCGCGATGAGACCGATTGTCGAGGGAGGAGGGGCTGTCTGCTGGTGGACGGGGGCAGGGGGAAGGCGGTGAGTGCATGGGCCGGAGGGGAAGCCAAGGACGGCGGTTGAGGGTCTCTGGGCACGACCCCGCCCAGCAGCAGCGGAGCGGGGTGACGAATCGGTGGTAGCTGTTGGGAGAAGAGTAACATAGGCTGTGTGGTTGGCTTACGGCGGTGTGTTATTCCATTATTTTGAACATCTTGTCAAAAAAAATTTGCGTCCTCCATCCTCTGACACAGGGTCGCCCTTGTCGCAGCATGTCGCCAGCCACGCGAATCCGCAACTCCCCCTTCATTAACACGAATATGTATCTTGGAGTATCCCCACACCTAGGTCTCGACGTTAGCGCATGTATAACTCACACACCCGAGGTATAGATACACACGCG